GTCTCTACCTGAAAAACTTCTTTTAACTTCCTGATCATATTTATAACAGCTGTTCTGAAGTCTTATCTGTTAATTTCATCATCCCTATCTTGTTTGTTGTCATTAACCGTTTTTTCTCTCCAAGTTATAGATTTTATGCCAGCTCCTTTGCGTTTAACATGGTTGGGTGATGAATACGCAGATTTTATGAAGTTGGGTTCTACTTTTGTTGTCTTATTTTAATATCTTAATAATGTTTACTAGGACAGATACTTATGGATAAACTTTCAAGGCCTGTTTTTAAACTTTTAAGGCAAGTTTGGAGTACCCTTTGTTGTAGAGCTGTTTTAGCCTGACCATAAGGCATGACTTCTAGAGTCTCTCATCAATGTCCTGGGTTCTCTACTCTACTCTGATTGACACTCTAGTTTCTCTCACCACTGAGTGACCTCTATAGATTTTTCAGTATTTCACTGAGTTTACACATATTCTGGTCATTTTTTGCCTGGCTTCACAGAACTTCATACTACACCTGGGCAGCTCACTCAGCTAAAGACCAGGGCAGAGTTCTGATCTTCTTTCTCTGCTACCCTGCCCCTGAAATTAGTTGTGTCAGCCTCTCCAAATTCCAAATTTTGTTTCCTCAATTCAGTGAGACTGTCACACTCTGCTTGGATCCTTCCTCCCACACTGTGGTCCAGAAAGTGCTCCAAGCAATAAGGCAGTACAATCAGACCTTCTCTTCTCTCAGAAAGCACAGTCCTGCACTGTCTGAGATCTAAGTGTCTTAGTTCTTGCAGACTGCTATTACAAAATACCATACACTGGTATTTTAAACAGCAGAACTTTATTGCTCACAGATGTGGAGGCTGGAAGTCCAAGTTCAGGGTGCCAGCATGACACTTCTGGGTCACAGACTTATTATTATATCCCCACATAGCAGAAGAAGCAGAGATCTTTGGAGCCTTTTATTAAGAGCACTAATCCCATTCATAAGGATTCCTCCCTCATGACCTAATCACTGCCTAAAGGCCTTACCTCCTAATACTATCACCATTCAGGGTTAGGATTCAACATATGAATTTTGGAAGGACATAAACATTCAGACCACAGCACCAATGTTTCAAAAACAGTGATTTCATATGTTTTGTTCACTTTGTTCATTGGTAGAAGTACAATTTGGCCTCTTATTCCATCACAATATGAAGTGAAAAAATGCCCAGTCCCACCCTGGCTGGTATGGTTCAATGGTTGAAGCGTCAACCCACGCACCCAAGAGTCACAGGTTCAATTCCCAGTCAAGGGCACATACCTGGACTGAAGGTTCAAGCCCTGACCTGGGTCAAGGCGCATGTGGGAGGCAACTAATTGATGTGTCTCACCTTGATTCTCTCTCTCCCTCTCTCTCTCTCTCCCCC